CTCTAAACAGCTGGCTGTGTACGTGTGTGTATATGGAGAGCACTGTGACGCTGGAAGTTTAGGAATAAATACCAGAAGAATGTAGCTGACACATGTCTGTTTGTGTATGTAGTGCCTCAGCATGTGTGGCGGATAAATTTGGATACTCCGGAGGAAGCCCATCAGAATCTCTCTTTTGGTGCTGCCGATCGCTGGTGGGAGCAAACGGATCTGACCAAGCTGATCCTCGCCTCCAACAAGCTGCAGCGTCTGTCCGAGGATGTCAGGCTGCTGCCTGCGCTCACCGTTCTGGATGTGAGTACGGGGATCCTGGCGTGGTGCCACTGTCCTCTTTGCAGGAGGTGGGAAAACATGGTCTTAGGTCTTTGTTTTCCATTTCCCTGCAGGGGTGGATGTGTGGAAGTGGCACTGGTGTGTCCTCAGGATAAAGAAAAGATTGTTACAGATCACTCTGATAGTATATCAGAGCATGCACTGCTAGTGCGTACTGTTCTGTGGAAAGATCCAGTGTTCTGTAGGTTCTTCCAGTACTTCAAGGGGCCCTACAGGAAAGATGGGGAGAGGCTGTTCAGGAGGGCCTGTTGTGATAGGACAAGGGATAATGGTTTTAAAATAGAGGCAGGTAGATTCAGATTGGATATTAGGAAAAAATTTTTTACCATGAGAGTTGTAGAACGCTGGAACAGGTTGCCCAGAGAGGTGGTGGATGCTCCATCCCTGGAGACGTTCAAGGCCAGGTTGGACAAGGCCCTGAGCAACCTGATCTAGTTGGAGATATCCCTGTTCCTTGCAGGAGCGTTGGACTAGATGACCTTTGAAGGTCCCTTCCAGCCCTAACCATTCTATGATTCTATGATCTAGGATATTTTCTTGTGGACACCTGATATTTGAAAAGGAAATTGAACTTTCCAAGACTTCTTCTGGAGTTTTAGAAAGCTGTATTCTTTATTGCAGCACTGGGTGCATGGGGGATTTTTCCTCCTAGCGTGCACACCCGGCTTCTGGGCAGAAAATTAGTTATACACTACAATTATGCATAATTTATAACATATTTACATATTCTTAAACAATTGGTTAATTGTCTCTCGCTTTACATGTAAATTCCTTTGCATGCTCAGTTCTCTTCCTCTGTCCCTTTCTTCTGGGTCTGGGGTGTATTTAGGGCAGGTGGTCTGTGAGTCGGTGGTCACCATCTCTCCCTGCCGGAATTCCCTTTTCCCCCAAGTCACTGCATGTTCACAGCTCAGAAAAACATGATAGCAAAGTTTCTGCAGTTTCTGGGATGTTCCCTCCAAGGGCAGACAGTTCTCGATAAAGAGTCTCATTTTTAATCACCCCTGACAGCTTCAAGGATGGTCATCTCGTTAGTTTCTTTAGGTGTGTGTGCATCACCTACTGCCTGCTAAACCCTTCATGAAACTCTTACACAAAAACTTTAACTCTTTTATTGTTGGGTAACACACCGAAAGAAGAGGTGTTACTGATGCACCTGCCTTTCCTGCAGACACCCCACTCCACCATCTCATCAGTTAGTGTTTGCTACCATGTAGAATTTTGCCAGATTGGCAAAATTATTTTGTGTATTACGTTAGTTTGATTTGTTTCTGAGTTAGGGGAAGAAAACCTACCGGATACAAATCAGTAACTGCATTCTAAAAACTTTATTTTCCAGGTGCATGACAATCAGCTGACATCTCTTCCTTCTGCTTTAGGACAATTAGAAAATCTTCAGAAACTTGATGTGAGGTAAGTCTGTGTTAAAAGTTGGAACGTGAGAAATGTTGCAGTGACTTTCATGATGTGAATAAGAGATTGCAGTCTGTCAGATTTTCTTTTGGAAAATTAATTTCAGATTTTTAACTAGAGAATATTAGTATATTTAGTATCGTGTAAGTTTTGGATCAAACCTGATGTTCTTAGGTTTGTTGAAATTATTTTCACTGACACTCAAAGTCACAGTCTCACTTGGAAGGTGAAAACAGTGGCGTTTTGAATAATGACACAAAAGCAGTATCTACATTCGTGTGCCTCAGACTGACAATTTTGTTTTGAAGGAACAGAAATGCTTTTTGCCATGAATAATACACATTGGGAATAATTGTGTAGGTCTTGTTCATGGTGGCAAGTTCATTTTCTTCTATTTACTGGAGTAATTTTGTGAATTTGTGCACGAGGAGAAAGAGGGTGTGCTTCCACTGTGTGTGTCAACCACATACAACAAAAGAACGTGAGATCTGGCCGGAATACTGCAAATTCAGATGCAGATTAAAAGTCTTGATGAACAAACAAACATAATTCATTTCTCCCAGGAAACTAATCCAATGTAGAGCGCTGTAACAGTCGTAGGAGACAAATTTTTCTTACAGGTGACAGTGTCCTGAGCAGCAAGAGTGTGTGCGTGCTGCAGCATGACAGCGCTTTGCAGAAGCCTGTCTCACTGCAGATGTAATTAATGGTTAGTCTGTGCCAGCACGGAACATCTGGAGTATCTGATGCTGAGTGTGCTTCATGCTTGCTCTAGGGACTGAAGAGTTGGTCTTTCCACAGGCCGGGGGAATCCGGCTGGTACAGGTGCCGTAGCTCCGGTTTGGATAGCATCGTGTGTAACAGAAGCGTTCTAGTGTGCAGTTGTGTTCCTAAAACTGCTTTGTAATTGCCTTTTCCCTTTGTGTTCCGTCTCTTAACACTAGCCACAACAAACTGACAAGTATCCCAGAAGAGTTGATGCAGTTGTCACATTTGAAGAGCCTTCTTCTTCATCACAATGAGCTGAGCCGCTTGCCGGATGGATTTGGACAGCTTGTCAATTTAGAAGAATTAGTAAATTACAACTTTTTGAAAAATATTTATTTGTGCCTAAAGGCCGATTTACTTGTGTTTTGTTACTACTAATTAAAAAAAACATAGCTTAAATGGCAGAACTTGGTGAATATTCTAATGATTTATGTAGGTTGTCAGTTATTATGTGGTGGGATTTTTTTTTTTTTTTGTAACTAGGTTTTGCTGTTGGTTTATCAAATATTTTAATCATATAATCATAGAACGGTTTGGGTTGGAAGGGACCTCAAACATCATCCAGTTCCAACCTCCCTGCCATGGGAAGGGACACCCTCCACTACACCAGGTTGTCCAAAGCCTCATCCAACCTGGCCTTGAACACTTCCAGGGATGGGGCAGCCACAGCTTCTCTGGGCAACCTGTGCCAGTGCCTCACCACCCTCAGAGGGAAGAATTTCTTCCTTAGATCTCATCGAAATCTCCCCTCTTTCAGTTTAAAGCCATTCCTCTTTGTCCTATCACTCCATGCCCTTGTAAAAAGTCCCTCTCCAGCTTTCCTGTAGGCCCCCTTTAAGTACTGGAAAGCTGCTGGAAGGTCTCCCGGAGCCTTCACTTTAAGAAAAACCAAATCCCTTGTGATCTGTTGGTCACGGGAGATTTGTTCCTTCTATTCACATTTCTGCCAGGGAGATCCTGAAGATGTCAGCCGTCTAATTTTTGTAATGTTCTGCTAGTAATTAACTTTGCAGTAGCAATACTCGTGGGATATTTTAAACATCTCTATTTCTAACCTCTCTCTCTTGTTCTTTTTTTACTACTCAGGATGTGTCCAACAACCGTCTCACGGACATTCCGACAAGTTTCGCTTTGCTCGTTAAGTTGGTGCGACTCAATTTGGCCTGTAATCACCTCAAGAACCTGCCTGCAGATATCAGTGCCATGAAAAGTAAATTAGTTTCCTCAGATTATTAAATACCATACAGCCAGTTCTGTACTTGTGTTCACAAATATCGTGCTTATCATTCAGGACTGTAAAAATCTATTCTTAAAGAGTTAATGTATTCTCAAGAATATTAGTTCAGAATTATTTAAAAAAATCAGCTACAGCTGCTGTATCTCAAACTTGAGTCCTCTTGTGGTTTATATTTCTTGATAAACGAGACACAGAATGATTAGAAAAGTGTGAGGATTAATACTGTTCTGCTTGAAAGTTATTAGCCTTGAGACTGCAATAAGAAATTTGATTTTTTTATTACATATTTTGAGTGGAAAATAAAGCATAAATGAGAGATGGTTGAAATTGTTGGAGAGAACAAACCCATAAATGATAAAATTGACTTCTAATATTGGAATGTTAAATACCAAGCTGACTAGTGGTTGATACGAAATGCATATTTAATAGCTGTGGCAGGTCTACAGGAACAGGTGGGTGACTGCCAGCTTTCATAAATGCTCTAGAAGTTACCTGCAGATCTTTCTGAGATGATCTGCAGTGTCAGACCCGTTCTTGGAAGAGCCACTATCTTCATGGCAGTGCCATTGAAAGCATGCCAGAATGCCCTGTGATCAGAATGCTTGCTGATCTCATCTCCTCCAAAATTCCCATTGGCAAAATATTGCATGCATTTAAAAAAAAGGGATATTTATGCTTCTGTAGAAAACAACTTTTATTTTCTCTTATTTCTCTGTCATTTGCACGCTTACTTCTGTAGGCTTAAGACAACTGGATTGTAGTAAAAACTACCTGGAAGCTGTACCTTCGAAATTAGCAACCATGGCATCTTTGGAACAGCTTTATCTGAGAAAAAATAGATTGAGTTCCTTACCAGAGTTTCCCTCATGCAAATTGCTGAAGGTAAGGTTCGAAATGGTTGGTATGCTGTAAATGTGTGTGCTGTCAACTTTTAAAACAGTGTCTGTTACTGTGAACACAAATTTTCGTGAATTGCTGTGATCAAAAGTTCATAGTTCTGTGTGTAGAACTCTATTTAATACATTCCCATTTGCGATTCCTGTCCGCATTTGTCAATATTAAGGTTATTTGGAAGACAAATTTGCATCAGTACTCTTCAGATTTGGAAAATAAATATTTAGAAGAGGAAGAACTGAAAAACTAGATCTAATATTGCCTGCAATGGTTGTTGTGGGGTTTTTTTTTGGCTCTAAGAGCTTTTTCTGGGTAAATTTATGTTGTTTGCTGTAATTTTTTTCTTTACAACTGCAGAGAAAGTATACTATTTTTTCCCCTTTGAGCATGGTCAGATCTTCCAAGTATTTTGTAGCATTGATTCCTGATATGTTTAAAATTGAAAATCACCTGCCTCAGAACATAACAAACGTATTAACTAACAGAAAAATCATTGGGCCAATCGAATGCCAGTGTCAGTGTGTCGTTTCCAATGACCAAATCCATCAAAGGATGCAGATACCTTCTTAGTTCTGCATAACTGAACCCAGCAGTTGAAATCCCCAGTTATTTCAGCATTTTCTAACAAAGTTCCTGTTGGTGTGTGAAGTTCAGTGTCATAGTGCATCCAGCAGCACGTATACGCTCTTTTGGTCTAAAGAACCATTCAGTTTTTCCATTACAAGTGAAACGTTTCCAACAGGGACATGGAGAGCTGCCCTCTCACCTTCCTATAACTCGGAATTTGAGAAACTTTTTGAGTAAAGAAGCTGTTGACAAGTTCTTGACAGAAGTGGAGCAGTTTTCTTCGTGGCTTGGAGGTGAAACTCAAAGCTGAGGGTGCTGTGATGGTTTCAAAAAAGCTGAATTCAGACTCGTGTCTCTGGAGGCTTTGATATTTCATATGCAGATGAAAGGGAATCGAGATCTGTTTTTTTCTCCACCTCATCGTCTGTTTTTGCAAACGCCATGATTTAGGAGATTAGTAAATTATAAAGTAATTTTACTAGAGTGACATAATTGTGGGTGATCTCTGTTTCCATAGGAATTACATGCTGGTGAAAATCAGATTGAAGTATTAAACGCAGAGAATCTGAAGCATCTGAATTCCCTCTCTGTGTTGGAACTGAGAGACAACAAGATAAAATCAGTTCCTGATGAAATTACTCTGCTTCAGAAGCTGGAGCGACTCGACCTCGCCAACAATGATATCAGTAGGTAATATGGAAACCTGCACGTGTCTGTGGTGAGGCACAGCTAGTGATATCTAGCGACAGCTAATTCTGTAGGGGATGGATTTCACTTCGTAGAAGGTAATTTAAAAAGGACTCGGTCATAAAATGAAGGAATCCTTCCTGTATTGTTTACATACTATGATCAAACCATGCCCTTCTTAAATGTAATGTATTCTGTGTCTTTTTGTTTGAACCTGAGCTTCAGAATACCAGGCCATCTGACAAACCATCACAAATTCCGCAGAATTTGTTTGGAAGCTGCTGTGAAATGAGTTGTTTCCATTTGCAGATTGCCATACACATTGGGGAACCTTCCTCAGTTGAAATTCCTGGCCTTAGAGGGGAATCCTTTGAGAACCATTCGAAGAGACCTTCTGCAAGTAAGCACTGTTGGCAGTATGTAAAGCTTGGTGATGTCACATATATATGTTATCCAAACTGTATAGCCAGAACATGAAAAAAAAACCTAGAAAATATCCGGGTTTCAAGTAGCCTGTGCAACTTTAACCCATCTCATTTGTTTGTGGGTGTTCTGAGTCGGGTACTCTTTCCACTGGAATCTGATGCAGTGTGTCAGATCGTGAGGACTGTGGGATGAAGGAGCTTGATGCTTTATAGAACCTATTTCTGATTTGATACAGGAGTTGTCATACATATTGCAAATGAAGCAATGGGTGCCTGGGGAGAAAAGGAGCTGTTGCAATCACAGTTCATGGCAGTGCTAGGCCAGTACTTTACTTCAAGCTTTTCCTAGATGAGCATGGATTTCTGTTTTTCGTTTCCTTCTTGCCTGAATTAAGAATCTAGGATTCAATTTCCAAAGCGTGTTTGATGGCAGGTGCATTTTGAGCAATGACAATATAATACACTACTTATGGATATGCTTATGGATAACCTACACGTCAGATCTGTCTTCTTTCTGTAGGTAACCAGCAAAGTGAAAGTGTGAGTTATGCATGAGAAAACAAGTACCTAGGGCAGCAGGGAGGCTGGAGTGTGGGCACTGCTGCTGCTATAGAATTCCCTTTTATTTTTTCCCCCAGCAGGCCCCTCTTCTCATCGGTGGTGTACGTTACTTCTTTTTGTGCTTTTGCCAGTGTTATAAAATAAATGCTTACAAAGCACTGGGATTGTCTAAAAATAAGCAACACTGACAACTCTCTGTCGAAATGGAATTTTGTAATAGCTGTCAGAAGAGAGAAAACATCATGCACCTGATAAAGTGAGCGTTGTATGGACTGAATTAATGAGCAGGGAGTCGTGGATGGAAGTCAGACGTGATTCCAGAGCTCGAAGTTGGCATAAAACATACATGCAAAGGAGTCTGAGTTAGGGTTGCCTGGCTACTGTAGTTCTGGTGTTCCCTGGCTTCTGAGGACGTGCTGTCTTTCAGATGTAGGAGCATAGGTGTGTGTAATTTCTGGTGTATATTTCAAACTTGTAGCAAACAACAGGTACAAGGGTTCCATTACGACATTTTAAATATTGTCTTGATCCATTACCAATGCTGTAAATTCATATAATTGGAATTTTATATGCGTATCTGGATATTTTTTTTTACACTCGATTTAGAGGAGTAATCGATAAAGTTTGTAGGGTTCTCCAAGCACTTTGTAGCAGCAGGTGAATATTGAGATTAAGGACTGGCAAGGACTAGGGGGCAGGTGTAGTCTAGCAGGCACAGATTCTTCTCTTGTCCATCCCTGCTCCATCGCATCTTTTCCTTTCCCTCAGGCCTCTCATTCCAGTCCCAAAGCCATTCTTGTTCTTGATAAATTTCCAGTCGTCTTCTGTTAAGTCCTAGTCTCTCCTTTTTGCATAACATACCATCACCTGGCTGTTGAGTTTGTCTTACTGTCTGCTTTCTTGTGAGAGTTCCTCTCCTTCCTCTCCTT